CCATCAAATGCGTGAAGCCATGTTCTGCAATCAAAGATTCATTCCATTTTCTTGACAATCACTTGTGCAGGATCAAAGTGAAACCTGTAAGCCACTCCTTTTACATACTAACGCAAATCACAACACATCTTATCACAAGTTTAGTCATGGGACATCTTTCAGGAACATATTTTATAAGTCTTGATATATAAAGAGACCACAAGGTCATGAAACAAATCATCAAAAGTTGTTTTAAGTGATTATGTTATGCCATCAGTAGGTAACATTTTCCGCTTTTCTCAAAACACCCGTATCCTATATAATTCTGCAGACACTCACTTTAATGAGATGATAGATAAAGTTCTATACGCAAAAGAAATTAAATATAAACATGTATTAGGCCAGTGATAAAACGAGTACATTATAAAAAAGATTGTAGCTTTGTTGAAATTTTTATAATGAGCGGAAATTAGAAAAGATAAATAAGACAAGGACTCTGATTAGATTATTAAACCTTTTATAGATAATGGGACGAGGCAAATTGAATGGAGATGAGTCCCTCAGGCTCTTTAAGGCTGGCAATTGTTGGTAAACAGTTGACATCTCAACAAGGTAGAGAAATCCCACAAATTGACTGATAAAATAAGCAAAAAACCGGCAGACTTTCTGGAATTATTATATATATTTTTTGAAGGAATAAAGGGGTAATTTTATCTTCAGAAATATGCGATGATCGTAATAATAGACGTTGTAATGGGAATGCCGGTGGATGTAGTGATGATGGGATTGGAGGTGGTGGAGAGATGGAAATTGGCGGCGGAGGTTTGGGCCGGGGTGATGGGAGAGGGCATTTCGTCGGATTCCGGCAAGAATAACACGCGAGCAAATGACGGCGGCGCAGCGGCGGCGAAATGAAGCGCTGGGGAGATTGTGGCTGAGAGCGCTGTGAAAGGTAGGAGGAGGTGGTGCGAGGACTAGGGTTTTTGAATAATTTGGATGCTGATATTAGTTTACTGCAATTTAATAAAGGAGGTGGTGCGAGGGCCCTCTGGTATTTATTTTTCAATAGAAGTTAAATTTAAAATTTGTGAAAGTATTTAAATGTAAAGATACATATAATAAATAAATGTGATATGTACATATACTACATACTAAATTAATATTTAATTTAGGTATATATATATATATATATATATATATCTAGTTAGAGAAATCTTTTAATAAAAGTTCCTTTCTATTACAATAATATTTTGAAAAAAAAATTAATGTAACATTTTTTGTAAGATGTGATTATATGTGATATAAAAATGTAATAAAGATGTAAGAAAGATTTTTGTGGGAAAAATGCAATCCAAAGTTCCGAACAAGGCCAATTTTTAGTGTGGAAATTTGATTGCTGACAGTTTTTGTCCAAACATTTTCTAGAGTCTTGACTGGGTTGGCACGTGGTGATTGGCGAGTGGCTTTCTGTGGAAAATGGGACGCAAGAAACTTTTGAATAGTTACAAAAGATTTCACTCTCAAGATTGACCAAAAACAGAAAGTTGTAACTACAAAATAATTTAAAAGGATTTCTCAACTCTCATGCAGTTAGGTAATTCAAGTTTTGTGCTATAAAATTAATGAAATGATAAGTGCGGATGTTACATTCACTTCTTAAAAAAAATACATTAGAATATTTATTCTCCTACCCACAAACAAGGGTAATTGATATATTTATGTATGCTCTCATAGTTTATTAGTTCATATATGAAACTGTTCAATTCATGCAGTTGAAGTATTAAATTCATGTATTTATATTAGTTTTGTTACGTGTACCTTTCACCTTGTATCACTTATTTATAAATAGAGGGTATATAAACCTCATTTGTAACCTTTAAAATATGTATCCTATGAAATATTACTCTTTCATTCCTTACCTCTAGTATATTATGTTATTAGTTCCACAACATTATGGGACTTTTCATTTATTTTTTTTGAGCTTCCATTTTCCATTTTATAGGTGTAATCTACTAATTTCTTGATAATATGCTGTTTCATAACACTTTACCCACTTTATTGCCTAATCAAACATTAATGATGAATTAATCATCCTAAATTTTAACAAAATGACATTAATGCCCTTATATAATTGTTCTAAAATAATGCTATGCTTTTAATTGGAATATAAAACATCTTATTAGAAAAAACACAAAGTCACATGATTTAAAAAATAAAAGATGGTATAATACCAAAGAGTTGAAAAATTATATTGTGGAGAAAAAAAGAATTTAAAGATTCCTAAAACATCTGTTTAAGTTTTCCATCGCTTATTTTTCTTCCTTCAAATTGTAAACAGATTGGTTTTGATAATTTTCATTTATCTTGCAGCTTTCAGAAGATTTTCACAAGTTAATAAGATGCTATTTGATAATTTTATACCACATTCATACCTTGCTTTGTATTTTGTTTCAATTCAATATTTTTTAAAAAATAAAAATTCTCTAAATATTTTTTCAATACATTTTTATTTGTAATCATTTTTTATCCCATATAAAGCACATTAAAAAGTTCTACAATAAAAAAATATAAGCAAATAATTTCCATTCCAAATGCACTAATTAATTTTATTTTCTTTAAAATAAGTATTGCTATGTACATTGAGATAATTACATTAAGTTGCTTAGATTTCTTTTTTTTTTTTGTGAATTATCTAATTCGTTTTAGTGCTAAAAGATCGAAATACATGCAAGTGTAATTGTGTTTAAATACATCTAGCAACTATTAAAGAAATAGGTATTTACTATGTTAGGGATATTTTGATCATGAAAAATATAACTTTATTTTAACCGGTCAAAAAGTTAATCACAAAGGGTAAAGTGCATATATTTGGAATTTATGAGGGGCCTAAGTTCAGGGGGACAAAGTGTGATTAACCCTTAAAATAATACTACCATGGTTCACCTAAAGGATAAAATGGAGATGCTACTCGATGAAAACTTTCATACTGGTAATATGTGTTCACCTGCTCCATGTTTCAGTGATCGAGATCTCTTTGTACTGTAAGTACTAAATAGGCTACGTTTGATGTGTGTGTGTATATATATACTAGCATGGGTCTGGCCGTGCTATGCAGCGGCCTAACCACTGATATGACCAACTAAATCTGTAACAATGAGGATAATTTGCTAAAAGATCATAATGTATATATAGGTTCAAGAGGTAAATAATATGCAATTCACAACCATACATTACATGAATTCAATCATTCATGTCTTAGTAGAATACATACTTGAGTGCTAGCCACAGTTACATATTAGGAGGCTTAAATAAGCTTCATTGCCTATTGAATTACAACATTGATGGTTAAATTATTAATAGTTATATTAGGATCCATTACTTTTTAAGTTAAAAGAATAATGGATCATAATATAATTCAAAAGATATTGTCTAAGCAATGAAGGCAAGCACCAAGGCAATGAACAAAAGATTTAACAAAAGTACAGAATTAGGCCATATCAGTCTTCCTTTGCTTTAGCTTTCTTTGCCGGACTATCTTTGATATTGCTAGGTGGACTATACGGTTTTGCAAGTTCTTTGGCAATTTGTTCAGGAGTCTTTGTTGCATGTTTAGCAAGTGTGTCTGCTGGTAAATCTTCTGGAAACTCAAGGCTTCTTTTTGCTCCACTGGTTGTAGATGCCTGGTCTTCTTTGTAAGAACTGGCTCCAGCAATTTCTTCAAGTACCAACTTTGTGATTGGTGTGAACATTTGATCCTTTGATGATTTTTCTGCATGCCTTGCTGATGAACTGCCAAGTGCAGAAGAAACTTGAGTGTTTTCTAGAAGTGCCAGTGGAAGTGGACTATGCGATAGTTCAGCTGCAGTGTAAGCCTTAATGACAGTATTCTTTCTCTGGAGTTGACTTTGGAAAGGAGTCTCATAGGATTTCAGAAAACAGACCATTGTGTACTTTTTCAAGGCATCATTAAGTTCAGTGTCTATTCCAAAGCCCTGCCCCAGAAGCCAGAAAATGATTGTTTTGTATGTATATTTGTATTTATGGTTGAATATAAGACAGAAAATTTTTACTTACATCTTCTTGTGCTTGCTTAAGTTGCAGTGGAGTGAACTCAATCATTTTTTCAGCATCTTCTCCAGATATAATGCAATGTATTGAGGTCGAAGCATCAGTTATAATAATTGGAATGCGAGCCTTTTAATTGAGTGAAAGAATTAAGATTAATATATGGTAACAAATTCGAATAATGTTTAATTTAGAAGCATAAGTTAATGGTCTAACCTGAGTTCAACTTCACTTTGTTGTTTGCATGAAGGACAATGGATGATCCAGTCAATGTCAGCATTCACAATTTTGTGACAATTCACACAAGCAGTAGTACAATATTTGGTGAATCCATATGCAAGTTTGACAGTTCCTTGCACCCAAGCTGTCTTTTGCTGAGTCAACCAACCATGAATGGTATTTGAATGTAAATTAGAGACAAAATAGTTATATTTAAGCAAAATTTTAAAATAACAAATGGCACTTACAACTGAAAATGATGCTTGAAAATTGCTAATTGCCTTGATATCTTCTTCATTTGGAGGAGGAAGTAAACAGTTTGCATCATTGTATGTCTTAGCATCAAGCAAATTTCTGATTTCTTCCTTGTTCAAACTAAACCTGAATGATTATGTTTAGAGCACAAATAAAAAATTTACCAGTAAAATGCATTGATAATTTATGGTAAAAAATAAAAAGAAAATTATACTTACCATTGCCTGAAAGAGAGGTCATCTGGGAGTGGAGAATTTATCAGAATTCCAGATGAATACCTTGTAGTGAATGACAAAGCTGTAAAAATGATGAAATGTTTTAGTAATATAACATATCAAGTACTTAGAAGACAAACAGTAAAGAAATCATAATGCATAATGAAAATTTAACTATTGAATGTGGTCACTTTAACACGGAGAGCTATGATTAGAGGGGCAGTGCTAATCATGTCTGCTATTTTTCTCCCTTCATCATGTTCAAATTCATTCCAGAGAGTCATAAGCATGAGTTTCTTCCTGTCAGGTATAACAAAAAATTGTAACTGCTATCATTAATCTAAAATGACTTAATAAAAAGGTAGTATTCAAGTTTGATTTACTCTTTATTCACTATTATAATGTCTCTAGAAGTACAATCTGGATCTGCTTGTTTTACTGGTAATGCGTGAATCACAAAGCCTCTAATATCTGAAATAAAGGTATTGATATGAATGTAAACAATCAATAAAATATCAAATGATTGTCAAGTAAATTAAAAAATAATGTAAGAAAAATTACTGCAAAGATTATCTGAATCAACATATTTGTGCAGATCAGAGAAGTTTGTCAGCTCAAATATGCAAGGCAACATAGGTGGCACAGGTTCAGCATAATTTTCAATCAAAGTCTTGTAGTTCAAAATCCACGAGCATTCATAGGTCCCAATTCTGTATGTTGGGTCAGCAGGAACAACAATTGCATTAGAAACATAATATCTTTGATAAGGCTGCAGAAATTTACTGAAGACCTTGATGTGTTGTTCATAGGTGACAACAGAAACTTTTGTTCCCTAATTAGGATTTGGAAAAGTTAGTTTTATATATATTATGAGTTAAAACCATAACTGTCATGTTGATGGCTAACATCATATTTATCACACAGAAATTAAAATTATAGGAATGAATACTTTAATAGTTAGGTGATTATTCACTTGCAATGAAACTATGGTTCTGATGTCATAGTATGTATAAACTTACATGAATACTAAGAATTTTTTCTTAAGCAAATGTAATGAACAGACAAATCATGAAATGTTCTTATATAGATTCTGAAATGTTCTCATATATGAATTTAATGAGCAGAGAAATAGGAAAGTATTTGCTGACCTCAGTATCTGTGAGCAGAAAACGCATAATTCGCCTAGGTGAAACTTCACGAGTCAGTTGATTGTGGCCTCTCTGAACAACTTGTGCTAGAACAGTCCACTTTTCTGCTCCTTTCTGAATGTCTAGCACTGAAGATATATGTCTAGGCATAATGACCTATATTCGTAGAGAAATTAGATAGTCAATTAAACAAAATAATAAATTTCTAAACAAAAAAGGCCATGAATATTAAAACCTGATAATGTAATCTGGGAAGCTTCAAGAACTTCTTTATATACTATATTTTTAGTATGATCAGTGCATGATTCATCAAAATAAGTTGGCCTGATAAGCACTTTTACAGCTGAAGCTGTTTTGGCTCTTGAAAGTGTAACATATAATTGGCCATGTGAAAACACAGGTTCTTTCAAATAAATACTAACAAAATCTAAAGTTTGGCCTTGTGCTTTATTTATTGTCATCACAAAGCACAAACGAATTGGAAATTGTGTTCTCTTATATGGAACTGGATATTGTTCATCACTTGGTGGCTGCATGGAAATTCTATGTATAAAAACTTCTTTGCCACAAAAATCACCGACTGCAATTTTAGCACAAATAACATTCTTGCTCAAACTCTTTATTATCAGTCTTGTTCCATTGCATAATCCTTCAGTAGGATCAAGATTTTTTAAAAGAATTATTGGGGCATTGGGTTTTAACAGTAATCTATGTGGAGGTAAATTGCTAGGCGTAAGAGTATTCAAGAGATCAATATATTTAGATTGATGATTTTCATTCAGTGTTTCATCATAACTTAAGTACTCAGTCAAATCTCCTGAAAATTTTTCGATCAATTGATCATTTATTTCATCTACAAAGTTATTCTTTGTAGTTAAAATTGCTCTATTTTGTGAGCAATGCAGTTTCTTTGAAGGATCTTTAAATTCAGGATACACAATATTGATTAGTTTTTCAATTGCATCAGTCTCATTATTATAGTTAACTATAATTGAAGATGGAAGTTTTACTATATCATTCTCATCTGTTTCCTGTGTTCCATCTCCAATTTTTAAAAGAAACTGCGTGAATGAAGGATCTAATTTTGCTCTCATGTTCTCTGTTAATTGCAATTTTTCTAATTTGTGCCATAATGGAGAATTTATCAAACATGCATTTATCATTTCAGCTTTTGTTCCCTTTCTAACAACTGGCAATGTTTGTCTAAAATCTCCACCAAGCACAACTACCTTTCCCCCAAATACTTCTTTTGAATTCATTAAATCTCTTAAGAGATCATCTAAAGCTTCAATTGCTGCTTTTTTAGACATTGGTGCTTCATCCCAGATTATTAGTTTTTCTTCTTTGATCATTGCAGCTAAAGAAGTTTGTTTACTAACTCGACATGTTGCACCATCAAAGATATCTATTGAAATTTTAAATCTGGAATGTGCAGTCCTTCCACCTGGTAAAATGGAAGCTACAATTCCTGATGTAGCTGTAGCAAGTGCAAGATAGCCTTTAGTTCTAACATCAGCTAACAAAGCTCTGTACAAAAATGTTTTCCCAGTATCACCTGGACCGTCAATGAAAAAAACACCAGGTCTATCTGAGTAAATTCTCTCAGATATGACTATGAATGCTTTTTTCTATTTTTCATTGAGTAGCTTAATTGAATTCAAGTCAGTTTCTGAAATGACAATGTTTCTTTCTGGTCTTAATTCTCGAGTTTCATTCTCTATATTTTCATAAGAGAATCTAGTGGGAATCAAATTATATGAATGTATACTTTTTCCCATGGATTGCAAAAATCCATCAATTTGTTGCAGGACATTTCTTTTCACTTGTGCAGATGTCATTGCTGAACATTTGGCAAAATCTTCTGACATAGAAGATTCAAAATTTTGCCACAATGCCTTTGGGTCATTAGGGCAAGAATAAACTAAAACTGTTGCAAAAAGTTGCCTCATTTCATAGGGCATATGAAACACTGAAGTTTCTTGTAAACAAATTTCTTGGTTGTTATCATTTTGTAACAGGTCTCGAATTAATGCTGCTTCTTGGAACGTTTCTACTTGAACTCCATTAAAGGTTCTTAAGTCATCAAATGAAGTTGGATATCGAACCTTTGATAAGAGTAATCTCAAGTAGTATCGTTCTCCTTCAGAAGGATGAGTAGTCATTATTCGACCTATTGATTCACCTCTTTCTCTCAATTTCCAGTATTTTTGCTTAGGTAACCAGACAAAATGATCAAGAAACTCTACATAAGTACAGTTTAGATCCTGAGTTGCTTTATCTGTCCTATTCATGTAAAAAAAATTCAATGAGCATTGTTTTTTTCAAATGATAGTTATTGACAACATTTTGAAGATTAGCTGTTTTTTTGAAACTCATTGGCTGATAATTCTCCAAATGTAATTGTAAATGAATAATAGCTGACTTTATTTCACTCATACAAAATCTAAAAATTCTCCATGCTGCCTCAGGTGGAGACACCTACCTAGCTGATACATATTGTTTAATTTCATCAATTTCTGAATCAAGTTTATTATTTACTACACAAAAGTTTGTTCTATCATGACCTTTATAGATATACTTGTAAATGTATTTGACTGCCTTAATTGTAGAGCATATTTCAACATTAAGATGGTAATCAAATTTAGCCAAAAGATATGGATTGTATGATACAACCTATCTGTTATCTAAAAGAGCTGATTTGATCTTAATTTGAACTCCATCATCTCTCCTTCGATATTCAGGATATGCATTAAGAGTTTGGATAGTTTTCTCACAGAAATTTTTAGGAAAATTATTCTTGCAAGTTCCATTTTTTCTCATGCATACACTTGTTGGATCAAGTGAACCACATGGTCCATGAAGCATATGTTTAATGACCAAATTATATAAATGTTCATTTTTCTCTTTATTTGGTATCTCAGCACAGACAATTTTATCATATTCTTCAGGGGTATACATCTTGAATTTTGACTTTAAAATTAGCAAGAAATGTGCATGTGGCAGTCCATGTTTTTGGTATTCAATGACATAAGTGTAAGCTGCCACTTCACCAAAGATGCATTTTTTCAAAAGTTCATCTTTAAGCTGCTTTAACTTAGCATGAAATACTCTAGCAAGCAAATCTGGTCTGTTTTGTGACTCTTCTTTGTCTATTAAGTGTTCTTTTATTTCTGGCCAATTAGGATTGCAAGTCATGGTCAGAAATATATCTGATTTACCATACTTCTGTACTAATGTCATTGCATCCATGTATTTACGTCTCATATTTCTTGGCCCTCCAATAAAGGATGGTGGTAATATGATACGCTTGCCAACATTACATGCTTGACTCTCACCTAATCCTAAAGCATCTATTATGCCTTTCAAGAACTCTCTCCTAATTTCCTCTTGTTGTAATCTATAGAAGTCGAGTCTTTGTGTCTCAAGCTTCACATATTGATCAACAATATATTGTTGTAGGAGTCGAGCAAAATGTAATAACCAAGATTCATCATTGTCCCTAATCTGAAGTTTATAACAATAATATTCTCGAAGGGACACAAAATTTGGATCTTCATGTATGTTTTCCATTGCTGTGGAAATAATAACAATACATCATTAAATGTGTAATCATAAATATTAAATATGTAAAATGAAAGATCATGGTATATAGTTATTGTACTAACCATGTTCTTCATTTTGGATTAATTGTTCTGCTGTAGCAGCATTTGCAGGGGAAATCAAATATGCTACATGTTTTTTTTCCCCTTTCTTCGATATACTTTTGCTCCTTTCTTTGGTATTCCTTGGTGCCAGCCAAGATCACCAAAAGGAAAAAGTATTGGATATTGGAGTGGATCATAACATCCATAATAGTATTGTATATTTTTTGAAGCACCACTATGGGTATGAACTCTAATATCACGCCTGCTGGTCTCTCCATTTTCTTACCCCTCAACCTACAAGCCTGCAACTTGTGAAGTTGTTGGTCTATTATAAACTCTTTGATCAACACCAGGTAGAGTTTTTAACACAATGTAGTAGTTATCTAAATTAGGTATCTCTCTCAAATTTCTAAAGAATTTTGCATATGGATTAGACTCAAGAACTTGCATAATTTTCCTAATTACACTTTTAGATAGTCTAGGACAAGCTGCTAATCGAGTGCTTACTTCAGTTTCAAAGTCATTGAAATATAACTGCAAATTATTACTATGACCATTGCTTGAATTGAAATCATTCAGAAAATGATATATTTGTTCTTGAATTCTAAAAGTGTAAATTCCTTTATTCCTTTTTGAGAGAGTCAGATCAGCTTTAGCACCGAAGGAAGTGAATCCAAAATGATTATTATACGTTCTAATAAGAGTTCTAAAAGATTGTGCCTCCTGTGAAGATGAAGTCAATAACTCTTTAAAGATATTTGGAATTTTATTTTGAGCCAAAACAACTTTACCATCTTGGCAACAAAAATATGCTGTCTCAGAAAAAAACTTCTTCGCTCCGCAATGAGGACAATCTAGTTGGTGTGGTAGGATATCAGCTTTGTCAGGGATTATATCCAACAAAGCTCTTCCTGTTTTGCACCCTCTTCCTAAAATATAATTGTTTTAGAGCATTTAGTAGTCAAATCATTCAATTGATTTTAGGGATAATTTCAGAAACCTCCCTTGAGGTTTCTGACATTTACACTCACCTCCCCTGTGGTTTGAACAATTACACTAACCTCCCCTGAGGTTACTAATCCTTTACAAATTCAGTCCAAATGATTAAAATATTGTTTTATAGAGTGAAATTAGAATTTTGTACCTGATTTGCCCTTTGTGCTACATGTCCAATGAATGACAAAGTATTACAAATTAATTAATAATTAATAAATTTTAAGGAGCGTAGTTTATAGGCAAATACGTATTACTTATTTAAAGTACCAGCTCTTTACGGGTATTTTACTTTCAAACATTTACTTTATTACAAATATTTATTCTCAAATACAGATTTGTATTTACTCTCAAATATTTAATTTTTGTTAAATAAAAAACCTACCAGTTTTTCTTTCGTAGAAATATTAATATAACACTTTTTCAATTTTAGTTATAAATATTTATATATTTAGCATAAATTAAATGATTCAGGATAAAATACTCATAAAGAGCTAATACTTTACTCATGTAATGGATGAAAATCATAAAAAATTAATACTTTATGGGCCATTTCTTTTTTTAAAAAATATTTAATTTATATTAAATAGATAACCTACTGATTTTCTTTTTGCGAGAATATTACTGTAACACTTTTTAATTTTTAATCACAAACGTTAATATATTTATCATAAATTAAATATTTGAAAATAAAATATCTGTAAAGGGCGGGTACTTTAAATATGTTATGTGTATTTGCCTATAAACTACACTCCTTACTTAAATCAATAAACTACACTCCTTAACTTAAATCAATAAACTTTATGAGTAAAGTTTATTGATTTAAGTTAAGGAGTGTAGTTTATTGATTTAAGTAAGGAGTGTAGTTTATAGGCAAATACACATAACATATTTAAAGTACCCGCCCTTTACAGATATTTTATTTTCAAATATTTAATTTATGATAAATATATTAACGTTTGTGATTAAAAATTAAAAAGTGTTACAGTAATATTCTCGCAAAAAGAAAATCAGTAGGTTATCTATTTAATATAAATTAAATATTTTTTAAAAAAAGAAATGGCCCATAAAGTATTAATTTTTTATGATTTTCATCCATTACATGAGTAAAGTATTAGCTCTTTATGAGTATTTTATCCTGAATCATTTAATTTATGCTAAATACATAAATATTTATAACTAAAATTGAAAAAGTGTTATATTAATATTTCTACGAAAGAAAAACTGGTAGGTTTTTATTTAACAAAAATTAAATATTTGAGAGTAAATACAAATCTGTATTTGAGAATAAATATTTGTAATAAAGTAAATGTTTGAAAGTAAAATACTCGTAAAGAGCTGGTACTTTAAATAAGTAATACGTATTTGCCTATAAACTACGCTCCTTAAAATTCATTAATTATTAATTAATTTGTAATACTTTGTCATTCATTGGACATGTAGCACAAAGGGCAAATCAGGTACAAAATTCTAATTTCACTCTCTAAAACAATATTTTAATCATTTGGACTGAATTTGTAAAGGATTAGTAACCTCAGGGGAGGTTAGTGTAATTGTTCAAACCACAGGGGAGGTGAGTGTAAATGTCAGAAACCTCAGGGGAGGTTTCTGAAATTATCCCTTGATTTTAATGCTAGTGTAAAAACAGATATTAGAAAACTTAAAAGTATTAACTATAGACCTGGCTGAGTTTTTTTGAGAGAGGATCTGCGATGCTTGGAACGAGATTGAGAACTACGCTGAACATCAACAACTGAGGAACACTCATTAACAATTGTGATGCTTGTTCGATTTTCAGTTATATTTGTAGAAGCAATTGATCTAGATTTTGCTCTCAATCTTTTCTTTTTCCATCTAAAGTAGGCCTGTCTCCTATATTCTTTCTTATTTATTACCTCTCCATGATATATTTCAGAATATTCAAAAGGGCTCTTATCATAAGATATAACAGGAGTACTACCTATTATAGGTATATGCCTATTCACAGAGAGGGGGGGGGGGATATAATTAGCTAGTTCCATATCTAGATTTGATATTTCAGAATAACTATTTTTCCCTTTAACGTTTGTGACTTGTTCACTCTGAAACTGATTTTCTATAATAAATGATTGCTCATTGCAGTTCACTTGTAATGAACCAGCAGGTTCAACATCAGAGAGATTGATCAAACATGAATTCATTGTGGGCAAACAATGATTGTCAGTAGAATCAGAGGTATAATGAACTTCTCCAGCATTTTCTGAAGGAAAGCAAACATTTTTACCTCTGCAATCATTTGGCAGAATTAGATTCCTATCGATGTGATTTTGTGAAGCACATGTTTCAACAAAGTGGTTTTCACGAATGTCATTCTCACAGTTGATTACAAAAGGAGTGTAGACACCAAATTTTGGTGTAATTTCATTTGCTGTTTATTTTTAATTTTTTCATTTTAGTTTTATTCGATTTTTAGTTTTAGTTTCTAGTTTTATTTTTATTTTTAAGCTGTTAGCATAGAATCTCTTGGAAAATGAATGAAAATGAGA